GCAGGGAAGTGTAGGTAGTCTTTTCAGTGTGATACAGTCTGGGATAACTGCTCATCAAAAAAGTAGCGGATTCCTTGAGAGAAGGAGCTGTTACTCGCTGTTTTGTCTCGTGAGTGTCCTGTTCAGCACAAGGAGAACCGGGATAGTATTGTGATAGCAAAGCAAGGGACTGTGGCATGAAAGGAAGTGTTGTTGCTGCTGAGCAGACAGAAGAGATTTGGAGTGTCTTGGAGTTAGTGACCTGAGCAGGACAGAGCGGGCCCACGAGTGGAGTCCAGGGCGGGTGGGTCGTGCTGTGAGAGAGGGCGCTGGTGGGTTTGGGTCTTGGAGAGAGAGAACTCCCACCTGGAGCTTCTGGGTTTTATTCTCTTTAAACTAGGAGATGAGTTCATCTGTTGAGAATTATGAGTTAGGAAGGGGAAGATGCTCCATTTATGGGGCTTTGAAAAGGAGTGGCAGTAGCCACTGTGATTGACGATGGAGATTAAGCATGAAGTTAGATGCCAGGTACTAGAGAACATCTCCTTTCTGTTCTTTAATTTTGCACACTTTCTGAATTTCTACCAAGACCGTTCTTATCCAAGGAGCTTAAACTCATCAGTGTATGGGAACATGCATCGCGTGCAGTGAGGTAAGAGCAGTACTGACACCACAGAGCTCCTGTCTCCCCGAGGAAGGGTGATCTCTGGGCATGCTCTCGGCTTCCGGACGGTGGGCCAGGGCGGGGGAGGCGCAGGCTTCTCTGCAGCACTGCCACGGGAGATGCTGGCCGGGGATGGTGCATCTCCTCCCACGTGTCCAGTTATTCTGAACCAGCGTGTACCCGTGCAGTTTCAGAACGTGTTGGAGAAGCTGAGGACTTGAAAGAAAATGTCGTAAAAATAGATGACTCCCTCAAAGGCTCCTGTGGGTGTACCTGTTTTGGGAAGAAGTTACGCAGTGACCTGGTGTGTAACAGACTTTATTGCAGCCTTGTAACCTCCCAGTTTGGGATGATGAACGGATGACCTCATCCAGCTCATTCATTACGCGTACGAGGCATTGTTTGATTCATTCAAGGTTTTTTTTTTTCCTCTTCAGCACGAGATTAAAAAATATATTCCACATTTGAATCTAGGACTTAAAAAATGCTGGTTGTCTAAATACAGTACCATATTGTGATAAATATAGCTATTGAAATTTTAAAAATCTATTCACAAAACTTTATTTTAATATTCATAGCAGAACTTTTTTTGGAATGTTATCTGAAAAACAGAGGACCATTTTATTATCAGAGCTGAGTATTAATTAGGGTATTGTTTCAGATATAAAAGTTGATCTGCCACTGAAATTCTATTTGAATATGTATAGTTCCAAGCTTGCTTTGTGTATTTAATAACTTTAGTACCATAATTACTCTGTTTACAATTAAATTTTGGTGAATATGCTAATCTGGAATATACCAGCCAGTGATTTCAGCAAAGGGCAGTGTTGATTTGCATCTTGATGGGCTGTTCACTTGCATCTGCATTTCGTTTAATGAAGCGGGAAAAGAGGTGGTGAGATTATATAAAATGGATTATGTGCTGGTAAACTTTTTCTTTGAAATCTCTCTGTTGGGTTGTTTTTTAGAATAGTGGATTTGCATTCCTCCCAGTGGACGGAAATGACGTGGAAGGATTTTATTTGGTCAGGATTTGTGAGCTCCAGTGTATTTTTTGATAGAAACTTGAATGCAGGTATCAGAATCATTATTAGAAGAAACCTGCAATATATGAGAGAGCGTTTAATTCAAATTAGTATTTTAAGTTCTTTAGAAAATTCACTGCCTTAGGGTTATGTTTTTTTTTAGTAGTTTTGAGCAGGGACTTCTGGCTTTAAATGAATCTCCTTTTTTTCTTTCAAAAATCACCGGAAAAGGAGCAAGGAGATAGTTTCATATTCTCTGAAACTTTGGTTTTCTGTAACCCTGAACCCCAAAATATGAGTGAGAGTCAAATGCAGTGAAAGTCAAGAAGGGATGCTGGGTGTGTTGGGTGGGGACACTCTTCTGTCTGAGACGCAGGTCACTGGCTAAGCTGGCAGCACAGTGTTTTCCAGAGCACCTGGCATGCCCTCTTCTGTCTGAGACGCAGGTCACTGGCTAAGCTGGCAGCACAGTGTTTTCCAGAGCACCTGGCATGCCCGAGGTCACACCGGCCAGCTTTTGTTTGGAAGAGCAGGCGTGAGTGTTGGCAGCAGACAGGCACATTCTGTGTCTCCACGCAGGTGCGTGCCACACAGGTGTATATGCATCCGTCAGCGTTTACAGTCTGCAGGTGTGCGTGAGCCTGGTGTCAGCTTACTGCTGCTCAACTTCAGATTCTCCCGTCTTTGCTCTGATTGTCACACTAGAGCAGCAAACGTTGGGTTTTGTTAGTAGAGCGCCAGGGAGGGACCCTGTGAGGGGCCTGGGAAGGGACCTCCTGCTGTTGGCAGTGTCTGTCCTTTCTATCAGGGGGGCTGTGGCCCCTGCTCTCCATGGCTTTTGGGCCTGGTAGGCAGCTTCTGGCTCTGCCAGCTTCCCTGCAGGTGGGGTCCTGTGGACCAGCTCAGCCTCCTGCAGCCCAGGGAATGCTGCTACGAGGGCCTGGGAAGAGCTCAGTGAGTACACGCCCTTGACCTTGCCCTGTGAGAGGTCATACATCTTCCGGTTGTCAATCAGCTTTTACAAATTAATATTCTTTCAAGTTAAACTTTCCTGTTGAGGTTACGTGTAAATCTCCTGACCAGACCTGACTATTAAACACTTAGGATTTTGTGTTATTTACAGTGTTAATTTTATATAAACAAAAAATGAAATAATTCCTGGTGCACTACTGATTTTTAGGAAGTGAACATGTAATTTAAACACCACCAGGACTGGGATCTAGGATATCATCCGATCCCCAGAAGCTTGCCTCTTCGGACTCTTAGTCATCTCCTCCCACAGGTGGGCCCTGTTGTGTGACTTGGCGTGGTGGGTTAGCTCTGTTTCCCGCTACGCCTCATGTAAAGGGGACCACACATTCTGTGGTCTTGTCTGGCTTCTTTTTCCCAACATAAGAGGTTCCATTTTGTTATTTCTTTTCCTGTTGATGGACTTGTGAGTTTTCTCCTTTGCACTATTTTGAATAAACCTGCTGCTATCAATTCTTGTACATGTTTTTTCTACATTTTTGGAAATGTTTTTATTTCCCTTATATGCACAGTAGTGTGGCTTCCTACTAGCCTCTGGAGGTAGGCACCTTGGTTTTCCTACTATTAGGAGCTCTTGATTAACTCTTTTATCTTTCCTATTCCATTTTGATGATTCTCTCTGTTGACTCACATGGTCCCATCTTTGGTCGGTGGGAACATCTTCCAGGCCGGCTCCTTAGACTTTTTTGATGTAACTCCAGGGCTTTTGACAACTTGTATCTAGACAGGGGTTCCGAGTTTATCTTGTATGTTTCCTGCTCCAAATGTGGAGTCAGTCATTTCTTCAAGGAACCTTTTAACAAAAATGGTATTTCAAGAATCTACTACCGTAGTTGTAAAAGTCACCTTTTTTGGCCGTTTTGAGTCTGGACTATCATGGCTGACCCTAAAGTTCCATTTAAGCAAGATTTTGCGATGATTAAAAAAAATAAGATAATTGATATGAAGAAATCGCAGGTGTATCCGTTTACCTTGAAGATGTTTAACTTAGTGGGGATCTAAACAATGCAGGTGCATCAGTATTCTGTAGGAAAAAAAATAAAGAGCGCCTGTAAATATGGAGTTTGTATATGTAGAATGGTAGTAGGTATTTGCTAGAAAACCAACAACCCTGATTTAATGTAGTATGTATGCATGCGGGATATCAGGCTCAACACCCAACTGCTTACGCAGTGCCTGTTGTCGTGTCTTCACAGACTTCTTTCACTTAAACAGATGATCGATCGTGCAGCTCCTGTTTATCTCTAAACCAGTTTAGGGAACTAAAAAGTACTTGTTTTAAATATTTTCAGCTAATGATTTTAGAACCAGGAGTCTGAAGTTATCTCTGTCTCTCTCTCACACACACACTCAAGTTATGTCTGAGGACGTTTAAAGAAAGTCCAGAGAGAAGTGATTTGACTAAGACCACTCAACTAACTACCTGGGCTGGGCTTGAGGTCTTTTGATTCTTTTCCAGTTTCTTTTCATAGTAAAATACTGCTTTCCTTGAATGTTACAGTAACTTGTCTGTTAGTGATAAAAATGAATATTGAGGCTTATCTCCAGAAGGACAGTTGATCAGAAGGGGAGCATGGGAATGCTAGGGTCACCTGCTTCGCCTTTGCTGTGAATCCAGCGACTAAGCAGCCCCTCTCTTCTTGTCACTTCCCCGAAGGTCTGCTCTCACTGTAGTGACTTGTGTAATTGTGGGGAACGTGTGCGGCCAGGTGTTCCTGCGTGCAGGTTGCTGCTGTTCTGCCACTTTGGGTTATATGCCCTTGGACAAGTTGCTTCACCTTGCTGAGCCTTCCTTTCCTCATTTGCAAAATAGGGGTGATAATGTCACCTGCACAGAGTTGGGAGGGTGCACAGGAGCTTCTGTGAGCATCTCTCCTTTCCCTCCCCCCCACCCCGTGTATGTGTGTGTCTTGTGTTTCCAATCTCTGCTGTGTTCTTACATCAGTATTGACCTTTATAAACTTTTTATTGCGTTTCTGTAAAGTGTGCATTCCCTCCTCAGCGTCATAGAACGATTCTTTATTGTTATACAGCATTTTTAGTCATAGATGGTGTTATGTCATTGGAACTTACAGTCAAGTTTTTTCTTGACAATAATTTTGTAGATCATTTCATTTATCATGTTGTAAGTTGACATAACCAAATAGGATTTAATGTATTATCAGAATTAGCAGATATCCTTTGTTTGCGTTTGAGTAAATTGGAATCTAAACAGCATCTCTGTTGCACAGAAACTTTCCTTAGTGCAAAGTGGAGCACTACTAACATCATGATTCTGAGTGTGGCTTTGTTTCATATTATAGTGAAAATGCCTCGTGTAAAAGCAGCTCAAGGTGGAAGAAGACAGGGCCCTGCCAAGAGACATCTCGCAGAGCAGTTTGCAGCTGGAGAGGTGGTCACTGACTTGGCCAAGAAGGAATGGAAACTAGGACTGCCCGTTGGCCAGGGCGGCTTCGGCTGCATATACCTTGGTAAGTGTCTGACTGCTTTTACTCATCCATCCAGACATGTACATGCCTCCGTAGCGCATGGTTTGTCAGTGACGAACTTTTACAGATGTTCCTAATAATCTGAGTCAACTCAGCATTGTGTTAGTAGGCAGAAATACGTTTCAGGAATGGAAAAGAAGACGGTTGGTTTAATCACAATAGAACAGAAGAGAAAGTCGCTGAATTTTGTCATTAGTGAGCATTGTGGCTTTAGATTTTGGATATTCTATCTTGCACATTTTTCTTTTCCCACCTCCACCCAGCTAGGATTTCTTGCCTCTGTTTTGGTTTATCTTAGACATTTTCAGATCTTTAGCAGGTGTGGATCCCCCCACCCCCTTTTCTGTACAACCCGAAGAATCATTATAGTGCAATTAGGAGAATGAACCTGCATATTAGACTTGATTAGATGTCCTGTTAATTAACACACTAAAATTTTGGGGCATCTATTGTGGAGCTCTGAGATTTCGTTTATTTAAAAAATATTTTATTTGATTGTTTCTAAAACTGCTTCACTAGGAATATTGTAGTGACACAGTGTATTTCATGTTCCCTTTTAATGTTTCCGACTTTTTCATTCTCTGTTCTTATTCCACTTCTAATCTTTATTTAATTAATTCCTGCCACAGAGGTTTATAGAATTTTATTCTGGTAGTGGAACTCCTTCTTTCAAGCAACATCTTACTCAGAATACTAATGGTATAGCATAGATTAGTATCATGTGAGCACCAGGGCTTTACTGTATTTTATAAAAATGATAGATCCAGGTCAGGGGCATCTTTGGGAAATAGCAGTTGATTGTTCAGTTTTGTTTAGGACCAAGATCATTCCAGTGACCTAGGCTGTGTCCATTTCATATGAAAACCTTATGCACTGTGAAAAATTGGTAGCTCTGCTGGCCAAGGCTGTGTTTTTGCCCTTGTGATTCAGAGACAGTAGCTGACACACCGTCCTGACTGCAGAGCGTGCGCTCTCTCAGCACCCCACGCAGAAGAGGGGACGTTACTGTAAACAGGATCTGCATCTTTCCTTAACCTGCTTTTGTCATCTTTGGCAAACTTGGGCTGGCTTTACTTGTGTGTGAGCGGTTCTGTTTGTACATTTACTTGTGATTAGAAAGTACCATCTAATAATAGTGTTTTTTGTAGCCAATAGTTGGACTGATTTCTGTAACAAAACTTTGCTTCTGCAAACCATGATTGATCAGTCTGGAGACAGGACTTGCCATAGTACTGCTGCCTGCAGTTCAGCGCTCTGTGCCCCCTGCGTCCCCGGAACAGCCATGGCACGGTCATCAGCAATTTCTGCTAATGAATTGAAAAGTTGTTTTTGAATTTTCTTTGGGTTATCACGTGACACTATTTATTTTTCCTTCTAAAAGTTGCTTCCATCATCTTCCGCTGCAGCATACCGTCACCCGTGTTTTTTCCCTCCCTCTTTGGACGTGCGTGGTCATCTTTGGAGATACTTCTGTGATCTGCGCTTTCCTTCTTTTCTCATTTTCCCTCCTTATTCTGAGTCTCACAGCTACTATTTCTCCTCTTTACTGTTGATTTCCATATGTTGTCTATGGCAGCCCATATGACCACAGGCTTAGATGCCCCACAGGCAAGTCTGAAACTCACTGCCTCCTTTTCCGCTTCACGATCATCTCATTCCCAGGAGAGGATTGTGGGTGATACCCCTTGAGCCAGACACTGGGGAAGCATCTCCAGTTTTTTTTCATTCATGTCCCTGCCCCGTGCCAGTCCTGTGCCTTGCCTGTGCGCCTCCTCAGACCCACTCGTTTCCCTCCAGCACTGCTGCTGCTCCTGCGTGCAGGCCGTTTCCTTGTCTCGGTTCTCACCGGACACTGGGTCTTCTCGGCTTCCTCTTGCCCTTTCGTAGCCCGTGTTGACAGCATGACTCGAGGGCCCGAGCTGGCAGTTCACTTCCATTTGAACTTTTCCAGCGCCTGTAGCATAGTGTGACAAACTTTTGACAAGGACATACAAGACCCTTCTTTAATCTGGCATATAGCTTTGTAACTTTTTAAAAAGACTTATATGCATACAAGAACTAGGGTGTAGGCCAGAGGTGTGGGGGGCCGGGTGAGAGGAATCACCAGAGAACAGAGTGGGGAGCAGAACAGGCAGACTGACTGAAATAAACACTGCTGAGGGGAGCAAGAGAGGTCTGCTGCGCCATGTGGGTCAGCTCCCTGGCTAGGAATTGAACTCATGCCGCAGGGGCTGGTGATAGCTTCATAGTGCCGATACTAACCCCTGTGCCATCAGGGAGCCCCAGCTATGTAACTTTTATCTACACCCTTTTATATGCTTCACCCATCATGCTGTCCTTTGCCTCTTGGTACTTGTAGGTGAGGTGTAGGGTAAATAGTTGTCAGGCTTTTCTGCCCTCCCGCCATTAGGATCGATGATGGATCCCTGCGGTTCTGAATGCATGCCTGATGGCGGCACCTGGAGTAGGGTGTGGCTATATGTAGGTGGGATACACCTGGGCTAGACTGGGCCTACAAGGGCGGTGTCATGGGGACGCCAACAGAGTGAGAGAGAGCCCAGAAGAAGAACAAGCGAGAGACTGGAAGAGAACCAGCAGAGAAGCAGAGGCCACGAGAGAATGCCGCAGAGCCCAGAAAGAGTGAAGACTTGCCTGCCAACCTCCTGGCCCCCTGGCACCCCTGCCTGCCGTGTACCTGGTTAACTCAATAAAAGCTTGAAAAGCCACTGAGGGCACCAGGACTTTATCCTTTACCCGTCTGCTCGGGTCATACAGATCCTGCACCGAGCCCATCCTGCCCCTACATGAGGCTTGTTTCATTTGTCCAAACCACTGTAGGGCATTTACTACATGTTTATAATTCCCATGTGCTAATCTTTTCGTAAAACTTTACAGGCTACATTGAAATTACCTTTCTTCTAGCATAAACATGTACTTCTTGACAATGGCCAGTCCTTAATATAGTCCTAATGCCTGCCATATTTTGCAGTACATATTGTTTGAGTGAGTTACTGAATTTCTTTTTCCTTATCTTGTGACTTATGTAGTAGTACTGGGTTACTATCCTCATTTTAGTATTTTTTATACTCAATTCTTACTTAAAATAATCTGGTCTTATTATTAATTAAGTTCCTAAGTGATGCTCCTTGGATGCTAGTCCTTAAAGCTCAGACCCCTTCATCTACCATTTTTAGCCATTTTTATGATTTGGAGTTTCTTCTCTAGTCTGGAGTATTTCAGCTGTATCCTTTTCAAAATATTGCTGCTTCCCAGATCACCGGTAGTTTCTGGGTTTCTTTTGTTTCCTTTCATCTCTTCCCCTTCTAGTGGAGAATGCTTTAGGGCTCATTCTCCTCCCTCACATCCCCCCCCTTTTTTTTTTTTTGTTTAAAGATTTATTTATGCATACAAGAGCTGGGGTATAGGCCAGAGGTGTGGGGAGTGAGAGGATTCACCGGTGAGGAGCAGAACAGGTAGATCTACTGAAACACACTGCTGAGGGGAGCAGTGGGGAGATAGGAGAGGTCTGCTGTGCTATGTGGGTAGCTCCCTGGCCGGGGATCATACTTGTGCTATGCTGCAGTGGCTGCAGATCGCTTCAGGGTGCTGAGCCTTTTACCCCTTGCACTACCAGGGAGGCCCTCCCCACCCTCCTCCTTTTCCTGGGGGGAGTTGAGGGGTCTCTTCCTGGTTCATCTTGGTCTTAAACACATGGCATTTTTGTTGATGACTCTCAAACTCATTTCTCCAATTTGGGCACTAAGATTGCTCAGAACTCCAGACTTGTGTATCAGCTGCCCATTTAGCATCTGGACTTGGATGTTTAATAAACATCTCAAACTTAGGATACCCAAAGCACCAGCCCCTCCTTCAATTTTTTCTGTATTAGTCAGTACAACGTCCTTTTTCTAGTTGTTTAGGCCAGAAGCCTTGACTCATCCTTAGCTCCTTTCCCCTTCTTGCCTGGAATCTCCATTTCATCAGTGAACCCTGTTGGCTCGTCTTTGAGGGTATGTCCACTCTGAACACTCACCACCTCCTTCTCTGCCGCTGCTCTGCTTCTCGCCACCACCACCTCTTGCTTGTGGGACAAGCCTAATTGATGTCCCTGTTTCTCTTGCCTTCTTTGCTCTATTCGCCACAAGCATCCCTAAGAATTATTTAAAAATCAAGATTGATCTGGCTGACTCTTCTCAGAACCTTCCGCTGGCTCCCCGTCTCAGCTTGCCTCAGTCTAAGCTGTCACTCCCGCTTGACGGCCCTTCTCAGGTTGATTGTGTTTCTTCCTTGTGACTTCTCCCATGTGCCTCCTGTTACTTTCCACCTCACTTACTCTTTCCATGTGCTGTGGCCTCTTTGCTTTTCTCACACATAGGCTTCCACGCCAGGGCCCTGTGCTCTGCCTGCAGTGTCCTCGTACTTACCTGGCTTGCTTATTCCCTCACTGCCTGCAGAACAGCCCAGATGATGCCGTCAGAACTTTCTTCTACTACCCTGCCGCTGTATACCTGCCTTTCCTGCTTAACGTCTCCTGTCTAGCCCATACAACTATCTGGTATACTTTGCATTATAATTGTTGCTTGTTCCTGCCTCTGAAATGTTAGCTTCATAAGAACAGGTATTATTTTTTCCTCTTCTCTGCTAACTCCATTTCCTAGAAATTGTCATATAGTAGGTACTTGGTAAAAATATTTATTTAATGAATATGGACAGCCTTACATTCCTCACTTAGTACTGCAGGGCAACTGTGTTTTTTCGTTTGCATGAAAAAAAATGACAGCCTCATTAGTTATTCTGGATGGCAGTTCAAAGTTCTAGTGCCAACCTCTTGGACTATTGATCTAGATGGGTTTCATTCCCCCAAACTAGTGCTTTTGGGAACTGTAGCTCCCTCCATTTTACTTTCCTGACAATCCTTTTTAAAAGGATTCCCTAGTTAAATTTAAGAAATCAGTGTCAATTATCATCCCCTTGGGACTTCACACCATACATTAGCAGCTTATCAAAGACCGTGTGTACTTTTGAAATCCTGAACTCAGAGTTTTCCGGTCTTTATTTTTTAAAGATTTATTTATTTATACAAGAACCAGAGTACAGGCAGATGAGTGGGAGGTGAGAGGATTCACCAGAGACAGAGCGGGGAACAGAACAGGCAGACTGATGAAATACACTGCTGAGGGGAGCAGTGGGTGCGACAGGAGAGGTCTGCTGTGTCATGTGGGATTCTCGTCGGCCGGCTGGGATTGAACCCGCGCTGCAGAGGCTGTGGACAGCTTCACAGTGCGGCGCTCAACCTCCTGCGCCACCAGGGAGGCCCAGTTTTCCTTTCTTAATTGATGATTGTATTGAAGGTACTGGCAGTTATAAGCTGCAATCCAGTTTTAGACATGTTAAAGCAAAAAAGTCTTAGAGTGATAAACTTTACGGTCATGGTATCCTGAAACACATATTTGGGAACTGAAATTTATTCTTATAAGGGGGCTATAGCTATACAGACTGAGATGTTAATGAAGGTTAGAAACTGGCTATTTATGATGTTGCTGCCTCTTACTTCTGATATTACATGTTACTTTTTCCAACAGCTGACATGAATTCTTCAAAATCGGTTGGCAGTGATGCGCCCTATGTTGTGAAAGTGGTAAGAAAATATTTCAGCTGATTTTTATCTTTTCTGTTGATTTAGTGTAGTATTTATTTTGTAAAAAATTCTTTTTCATCAGTAGAATTAATTAAGCCACAGGTATTACATTTTTTATAATATTTCATAAATATATAATGAGGGCCTCCCTGGTGGCGCAGCAGGTTGAGTGCCGTGCTGTGAAGCTGTCCACAGCCTCTGCAGTGCGGGTTCGATTCTCGGCTGGCCAGGGAGATTCCCATATGGTGCAGCAGACCTCTCCTGTCTCCCCGCTGCTCCCCTCAGCAGTGTTTCTGGTCCACCTGCCTGTTCTGCTCCCCACTCTGTTTCTGGTGAATTCTCTCACCCTTCCGTGCCTCTGACTGTACCCTAGTTCTTGTATAAATAAATAAATCTTTAAAAAAATATATAATGAGATGCAAAAGTAGCTTTATAGTTTTAAAGTTGAGTTCAAAAAGAACCTCTTCTGTTGAATCAGAGAGGCACTGGTGTTTGGGGGAAATGAGTAAAAGCACAGAAGTATGCTGATGTGTCAACACATTCTTTTTATTTTGGCTGTGTTTACAAAGGATGAATTGCTTTTTATATTTTATGATACTATATTAATTTAATGAAATTCTATTTTACTTTATCTTGTACTTACTTCTAAACATCCACTTGGTCATTTATTTTTCTTTTTTTACTTCCAGGTTTCTTCCTTTCTATTTTAATAAATAATTGAATGTTGAAGTTAGTAAAGGTTGCCACGCTCCCCTTTGACTAAGCTTCCCTCAGGTAGCCAAGTCAGTTTATAGATTGCTTTTAATTACTATTTTTTTTGTGTGTGTGTTTTTTCTTTTTTAAAAATTTATTTATGCATACAAGAGCTGGGGTACAGACCAGAGGTCCGTGTGGGGGGTGAGAGAATTCACCAGAGACAGAGTGGAGAGCAGAACAGGCAGATGTACTGAAATACACTGCTGAGGGGAGCAGTGGGTGAATCAGAAGAGGTCTGCTGCGCCATGTGGGTAGCTCCCTGGCTGGGGATCAAACTCGTGCTGCAGTGGCTGCGGATAACTCCATAGGTTGCATCTTAACCCTTTGTGCCACCAGGGAGGCCCTGTGTGTGTTTTCAATGTTACCCATCATTTTGTTTGCCATCATTTGTGATGCCCCCTTTTCAGAATTCTTTGATACATTTGAAGAACCCGTGCTTGTTAAATAGAAGAGGTGACGGCATCTGCTTTTTGGACAAGTTCCCACTTCCGCCCTCCTCCGCTTTTCTTTCCCCTGTAGACCATAGACCTGGAATTAGAGTTGCCCCAAGGCTTTCCTTTTGTTTCACTTCCTTTTCAAAAAGGAATATGCTTGATCCCTTATGAGTGAACTCTTTTGGACCTGACCTCTTTTAGTGATTTTTAAAAATATTTTTGAAGCATAATTTTTACAAGGAAATGTATAGATATTAAACAATTTGAAGACTTTTGACAAGGGCATATGCCCACAACCATAACTCCCACCCTCATTAAAATAGAGAACATTTTTGTCATGCCCCAAAGATTCCTTGTGTCCTTTTCTGGTCAAACCCCTAGTTCCTGCACACTGAGAAATATTTGTCTGAGGTGTTTTTTCCTTGTGGGTGAGTTATTCCTGTGGTAGGACATCATATAAATACAGGCCATCGTATACAGGGAGTACTCTTTTGTCACTAACTTTTAGGGTCAGTATAATATTTAAGGGTTCATCCATACTGGTGCATTAGTTGCTTGTTTGATTCTGTTGCTCAGCAGTGGTGTGTTGTATACACTCAGAGTTCAGTGCATGCTCAGCTGTAGTGTGTTGCCTAGCCTTAATTTGTTTTCCATTTCCTGTTGATGGTCATTTGGATTGCTTTCCACATTTGGTCTGTTAGGAATAAAGCTTCTATTAACATTTTTGTATAGTGATTTTATGGATATACGCATTTGTTGCTATTGCATAGATACCTAGAAGTAGATTTGCTGGTTTGCAGGGAAGGGGTATATTTAAATTTATAAGAAAGTACCAGGCAGATTTCAGAGCGGTTGTGTCATTTTACACACTGACTGTAAGGTGTAAGCATCTGGGCTCTGCACGTCTGCTTTAGAGTTAGATGTGTGGGGTTTGCTTGTTAAGCCGTAGAGTAGGAGTACAGAGGGGTTTCAGAGTCCTTGTTTGTATTTACTGATTTCGAGCACTTTTCCCTTGTGCTTGTTGGCCACTCACCTCTTTTGCCTTGTGTCGTGCCTTTAATAATCAGGCTGTTTTGCTTTTGATAATTGAGTAGTAATAGTATTCTGGATACAAGTCCCTTTTTTCAGATATATGTGTTGTAAATATTTTCTCCCTGTTTGTACTTCGTCTATTTTATGAATGCTTTTTTAACATCTATTGAGATGGATCACAGGATTTTTCTCCTTTATTTTGTTAATGTGGCAATTACATTGATTGGGATCTGAGTGGTGAACTAACTTTGTATTCTTAACATACACCCCACTTAGTTATGGTGTAATGCTCTCTCCAGAATGCTGGAATTGATTTGCCAGGATTTTGTTAAGGATTCTAGGTCTTTTTTCATGAAGGGTGTTGGCCTTTGCTCATTGCTTTTAGTTTTCTATATTGAGGAAGTGTCCAGTCCCCTGCTTAGTTTCGCTGTGCTTGGCCCTTTGGCCCTGAGTGTCCCGGGTCTTGTCCTTTTCACACCTGCTGCCCGTGAAGGAAGTGGGGCTGCCTAGGGCTCGCTATCTCTTGCCTTTTAGAGGTCACCGTCTTGTCCTGCCTATTTTCTCTAATGTCTGACAGTCATACTCTCCCATGCTCTCTCCAAGTTTATGTTCTTTTGTGACAAGGAAGGCCCACCGTTGCCCCTAAGTGGCAGTGCCGAGGGGCTCTAACACGGGCTGTGGTTCACTTTCCCGCTGCTTAGGGTTTCTTCTCTCTCTGGTGGGGTAACCTTCCTTCTTGAGTGTGTGCTTTACTGCTGAATGAGAGGAACAAAAATGCTTCCTGTTGATTGGGTCATTTGCATGGAACTGCAGAATTTTATCTACAGCTTGCTTTTGATATGACAAAGTAAAATACTAAAATACATAGCTAAGATGATGTTCTCAGGAATTTTCAAAAAATTTCCATTGACCCCGATGATGTCTCACAATCTTGAGGTTCCAAAAATATGTTTACTGTGACCCCCTGCTGCTGTTTCACCCACACAGTCACTTCCATGCCTGGGGAGGAGAGTGTGTCGTGTCGTGTTGTGTCATGTTGTGTCGTGTCGTGTCTTCCACGTGGTGCTGGCGAAGAACCCGTCTTCCTTCTTCTGTGTAACCTGAGCTTATTTAAATTGTTTTATTGTGGAGTTATCATAATTCTTTATTGTGAGTAATTGTAAATATTTTAGTTGTATTCAATGTAACCACTTTTACTTGCATTTTCACTCGTAGAGCTATGCAAAAAATAGGTAGAAACAAGTTTTTCCTAACTGCTTAAGGTAGCAAATTACATTTCTAACTTTAAAGCCACTTGTTATTAACCTAGTTCACTCTGCTGCATCTGCCGCCTGCTAATTTAGTTGTTTGCACTAGCTTGCATCACTTCTTCTCTTCGTAATTAGGACAGTGATAAATATTCAGTTGATTTCTCTTTTGCATTTAATATTTCAGTAACATTTTCAATGTCATAGTTTGCCTGTGATCCTGGAAGAATGCCATAAACAAAACAATATTATTGACTTTCTTTTTCCTCTCCAAAGGCTAGCTTGGTAACTGCCACTTGCTTATTTCGCCCCCATATCTGTCTTTTGTGTATTCCTTTGAACTCCTGTAGTGCTCATTCTGTTTTATTTATTTACTAATTTCACATGCTAATAGCTTTCTCATGCTGCTGGTTGTTATGACTTTGTATGTTTATATCATCTCCGTAACTAGATTTTATTTGATAAGAACCTTATTTTAAACTTTTCTTCATGCTGCTCTTAACTGCCTATTCTGTTCTTTTGAAAACTATTTAACCATAATTCCCCATTGCCTTTTAACTTTTCAGAGCCACCCACTTCCACCTTTTGTCTAAGCCTTTTAAAATGCGCCCATTTATCACTTATCTTTTGTGATATGCTGTGACATAACTCTGTCAATTATTATCTCCCATTTTTTTATATTCTCAGCACTATATAATATTAAAAGTTGAAACGGTTCATCAAATGCAAACATATAAAATGAGTGCCATTCTGGTATTAAAATTAGAACTGCTTATGACCATTTAAAACACTTAGGGGCTATTAAAAATATATTTTCAAAGAGTATTACTCTTTGGAGAAATTTCATAATTACTAAAAAAAAACCAAGATGCAAAACTGAATGTTTAGCGTGGACGCAGTTTTTTTAAAAAAGCTATGTGAAGAAAACATTTCAGATGATTTCCAAATTTTCTAAATTGAGTGTATATTTTATCTTTAGAGAAAAAATAGCAGATGTTATTTAAAAAGCAATCAAAGGCAAATTGATCTTTAATGTGAATTAGACTCACTGTACACAGTAGCATGACAGGCAGTGGTTCTCTGTCCTGGATGTGGAGTCTCATCAGGGTCTCTGGCTGCAAGGCCTGGTGGCAGGTGTTCTGAGGGAAGCTCCAGGGACCTTCACACACGGGGTAGGAACCGCTGCTTGAGCCTGGCACGCACGGCCCTCCCTGTTGGCCGTGGTCGAGCGGGTATGTTTCACTTTGTTTGGGGGTCCTTTCTGCCTGTGCGTATGCAGGTGCCTGTGCTTCTGCTGTGAGCTTCCCCATTGCCGGAAGACCCGTCAATAAAATTGCTTGCTGCTGCTATGCATATCAGCTCTAAAGAGAGAGCTCCAGATAGTTGACCCCAAAATTTCTTAACATTTGGCCTTGAAATGAAGTTAAGCCATATCTATTCAAGGTAGATGGCCAGGCGCACACCAAAATTATTCTCCTTCCTAATGACGGAGTCTGGTTTCGAGTGGGGCTTTCATCCTCGTCTTACAGGGGCAGCCCTGGCATCGGGTGACCAGGACAGTAGACTTGTATTCTCTGCCTCTGGATAGCGAGAAACCCTTTCTGTAGAGCCGTGGTAAGTTGATAACAAAAAGCTGGATATTGCAAGGAGAAGCAGTTCTCTTTTGTGTGTTCCCATTAATAGAGAGAGCAGAGCGAGAGGTGGAGCTTGTATTCCAGCAGTTCTCTATGCCATGGACACTTTCCAGGAGGGCCTGCTATAAATCTGTATTTCCGGGTTCCCTGGAGAGAAGTTTGCAGACTGATGTTTAATTTCCCTCATTGATGTTATGAGAAGTGACCTGAATTTTCAATTCATATATCATGATTTTTTGGTAGAAAGGAGGAACTTTATACAGCTTCATATTTAAATGGCAGCCAGTTGCTTTTAGATGGTGCCATTGAAATATATCACATTTTAATTTTTTTCTGTTGTCATCTTCATTTTGACACTTAGAAGTCTTAAAGAAACGTTTAGTGATATTCTAGTTAAAATGTCACTCCCAATTTCTTTTCTAAATCTTGGCTATTACAGAGTTGGCAAAGTATTTTAGATTTGAAATATGTTAATAAAATTTTAGTTATGAGTTAAGGTATTTTCTTCAACAGAAACAGCCAGCTATGGCTAGAGTGCAATGCCAAAGAAGTGTAGATCCTTTATTTTGTTATAATGGAATCTTATTGGATTAGAAAACGTCTGAAATGAGCTCAGAGAACCTTCATTGTAGTGAGGCTTTCATTATAATAGCCTGATTTATATAGGTTGATTCTCATTATTATTATAAGTTCAATAAATTATTGCCTGAAGGAAAGCTTGAAAATTAAAGTTGATATGACATAGGTTGAAACTGAATAAATCAGAATTTTAAGATGATGGTAATAAGCCAGGATTTGTCTTAGGAAAATCTTTTCAAACCTGAATTATATTAATGAACTATCCCAAAAGTTAACCTTTGGAGAGTACCTTTACTAGAATTTCTTCTGGAATTTCCATTTTTCTTCATGTCCGACCTTGAACCTGTTCCTCCTGCTGAAGGCTGTTCTGCAGTGTGGGCTCCAATACTGACAAGATCTGTCCCCCTCTTGTTACTGCCAGCGGAGGAGCCCAAGTTATGACCACACTCGAGCTTCAGACTCTACAAATGAGGGGTTTGCCACCCACATTTCGGTGTGGGGGTCTATTTTCTGCCTAAGAGCTGATCCCCTCTCTGCCAAAACTGGGCTGAAGAGTGTACTGACCTGTAACAGATAAGGCTAGCTTGTGGCCTGTTTGCTGCTGAATGCTCAATCTTAACTGGACACGGCCTGACTCTGCACACTGGCTGGTCATTCTTTCTGTAGGTACCCCAAGTGGGGGGCCCCCATCTTTTTGAGTTATAAGAAATTTAAGATATTAGAACTGCATGTGTGGTGACCTACATCTCAATAGTGTACCTCTGTATCATACACGGTGCTGTAAACCAACATTACCTCAATAAGAAATAATGCAATTTTTGTACCCATAATTTAAAATTCATTTAGCATTTATCATAATTAAACTTTATTTAGCATTGAAGATTATGTAAATATAAAGAAAATAGAAAAAAATCAACTGCCAGCATTTGAATTTCATACCAGTTTTGAAAAATTAAGATTTTTTTCTTTTACTTCTGTCCTTTCAAAGATGTTAGAATTGAGATCCCATTTATCAGCATATTAAAAATGTTTTGCAATATATTGATGACTCTACTCAACTTAGAAATTTTGCAAAATAATAAAATCATTAAAAGTATATTTTAAAAGGACCGTGTATAGAGTAGTTTCATTTAAACCCCAGGAAACAAAATTAACTTCTATGACTGTTCAGAGTATTTGAAATGGTGAAAAAATGAACATGTCTTAATTACCTGCAAAAGGCATCTCCAGTTGCCAAGAGCTATGTATTTTCACAAATTTTCTCTCAGTTTAGGTTGGGAGTCTTTTCACATCTTCTGGTGCCCGGCTCACCCTTGAGCTCCAGCTGCACAGACTCTGCTCAAAATAACTTCCCTTCCATTCTTACTCAAAGAAAACCCTAAAATTATTTTAGAAATGTTAGCTTCCTCATTTAAAGTTTTCACTGCTTTTCAGAACTTTTCTGATTCTCAGAAATACCAAAACATTAAGCAAAATACCAAACATTATATATATACTAACCAGTTTTAATGAGACAGAATTTACTGTTTAAGAAGTTCCAGAGAATTCTAAGATCTTTCCCATCCTTTGTATGTATTTAGCAAGGCAAAACTCCCAGCAGAGATAGTTTCTTGCTGTGTTAATGAGTATATGCTTCTTTGCAAATAATTCTGTTAATACTCCTTAAACTATCAACTTGAGGTAGTCCAGTGAATTTGGTGGAAAACAGCTGTTATTGAGCCCTCTTTTTTCCCTCTTTTGATGGTCATGTGGGAAGTAAATTGTAGAACATGTTGATTTGAAATACCTTGGGACCAGTGTCAGAAGGAAAAGGATTCATTTAAATGGACAGAGCTCGCTAGCTGGAATCCCAAGAAAATTCTTCTTTGTGGTGATGTGTGTTTACTGATCCTGGTAAACTCAGTGAAACTAATGGGAAGCAGGGAGAAAAAGGGTTTTGCCACTGATTGGTGAATTCAGGTATTGGAATTGATTAAATCTCAGCAATATCTTGTTCCTTGGTGATAACCGTTCATAATGATTTGTCGATTTTTGCTTAAAAGAATGCTTAATTGAGATGAAAGTAAGTTTAAAGATTCTTCTTAAATTTCTACAAAGACTGAGCTGTATATTTAGTTTTGTATGGAAATGGAACTTGAGAGAAATGTAAGACTTACGAACTATTCTGAGAAGTTCTAAAACATTGCTAAAGCGTTTGATATAATCTTGCACATGATTATAAACCTAAGTATCAAAGCTATATTGTTTGGAAAGAAAAACTGAGTTGTTGTCTGTTTTGAAGGTTCATTGAAAATAGTTCAGTAATTTAACTACTTCTAATAGTAATTAACTTTTATGTTTTAAGGAACCTAGTGACAATGGACCTCTTTTTACCGAATTAAAGTTCTACCAGCGAGCTGCAAAACCAGAGCTAAGTAAGAAATACTCTGCACGTGTTTGCTCATTTTAAATGACCTTGGTTTCTTTTGTTTTATTTAAGCTGAAACTGGAGCTTTGGGTTTTATATTATGAGTTTTATTAGATTTTACTTCATATGTAATTTACTTAAATAAGATTTGTATGATCTCTTTAATGGGTTTGTTATGAAAAGATGCTACATGTGTTGATATATTGATGTATGGGTTAAAGTTAATAAATGAAATATGATTTAGGAAGTATTGGTATAAATAGAGAAAGAACCCTAACCCATGACTGTGGTTCAGGGATCTCCAGATCTTTTTGAGTGTTTTTCTAAACTCTGGAGAACAAAGATCGGGGGGCGGTAGGGGTGAGACTATTATAGCTAATGTGCTAGAAGAGGATGGTGTCGGGGGGAGAGGACTTCTCCAAGCTGCCTGTGTCCCTTCCGCCTGCCCCCGCCCCCAGCAGTCCAAGGAACTTCCTGGTGGGGTGGTATCAGGCTTGGGCGTCTCAAGGAAGGCTTCCATCTCCCCTCGAGCTTCGGAAGTTGAGACCTTTTAGAATGAGGTAAAAAAATACTTTAGGTTGAAGTAAAAAAACAGTCTTTTTGTGGAAGCAAGTAAATATTTACATAATGAGAGCTATTAATTGCAACTGGGGGCTTGGTTTGATTTTTAAAAAATGTTCTTTTTCAGATTTTCCTTTTGAAATCAAATTTTAGGGCAGGAGAGCAAAATTTTATAGGTTATTAAAACTGATTTGTTAAAATTACTTTTCATTTATTGGTTATCATTATTGTTCACTACCTTTTTATGAATAAATAAAAGTGAAATCTCATTGCATTATAGGTACATTTTGCTCTTAATGATTAAAATAATTATTTATGTTTAATAGAATTGAAATCACAAGCATCTGTTTTAACTTGTAGTTCAGAAATGGATTCGTACCCATAAGCTGAAGTACCTGGGTGTTCCTAAGTATTGGGGGTCTGGTCTCCATGATAAAAATGGAAAAAGGTAAAACTGTGTGTTTCATTTCTCTTCTTCCTTTCTTGAACATTCACTGTTCAGTTGGTTTATCCCAGAGTTCTTGGCCGAGCACCTGCAGTGGCGGTGCTCATCTTGGCCCCAGGGCAGCGAGCGGGTGCTAGGTATGCACCTCTGCCCTCTCATGCCGCAGCAACAGACTGCACCCACTCATGGTGTCCGCTCAGGCTGGGGGCCTGTCCACTCAGGCCAGGGGCCTGTCCACTGAGGGCCAGGGGAGCTGTCCACTCAGGCCAGAGGGCTCTCCACTCAGGGCCAGAGCAGTGCCACTGATGAGCCCAGCTCACAAGCAGGAACAGCCAGACATGCAGACAAGCAAAATGCTCCCTGTCCTTTTCGTGGAAGGCGGCTTCTTGAGGCTTCTGCGCAGCATTTCGTGCTGGCTGTGGCGTCTGCCCGTGGAGTGCTGCTCTTATGAGGTTGCAGTCTAGTGGCTGAGAAAGCGACAGGACCACAGCAGTTTGAGCAGAGTTAAGTGCTAGATTGTGTAGTGGTGACTTGTGTGTGTAGGAGTTCAGAGGCTCTTCCATAGCGGAGCTGGAGAAAACCCCGGTACTTGGATGCATACTTGACACTTAGAAAGCATTTCCAGATGAGGAGGTAGTGATACTGGAACCCAGATACCACTGGGCGAGATTGCAGTTGACTGGCCCGGTCAGGTGAGGTGTGGGCCTGGGCTTGGCTATGTTTCTCTGTGTCCTCCCAGCCAGGTGGGAGAGTCAGTACTCTGGAGCTGTGGAGAGGAGGGCGTGATAGCAAGGGCATCTTCCTGGCACATAAGACATGCTCAGTGAATGTCACTTGCAGCCATCATCATCATCATTGGTTTTGTTCTCTTATTATCTTCGTTTGGGACTGGAGACTTTCCTGAAGCACATTTTGCTTTATCATCTCTTTTGTGATAAAGCAGGGGTCCAACTAAACAGGGCTGGTGTGTGTGGCTCCAGCAACGTGACGGGACCTGGAGAGATGGAGGGGATGGAAGGGTGACTAGGCCAGCGGACAGGAGAGGACTTTCCACCGCGGACTGACTGTAGGGACTCCGGGCCAGTCGCTCCCAGGGCCTCTTCCTTCCTAGTGCTAACCTTACCTCTCGGGCTGTTCCTTCTATGACATGGGCTTGCTAGAAGTTTCTCCTTCTAAAAGGAGGCATCACTCAAAGTACTGATTTAATTTTTATCTTGAAGCTCTGAAATATCAATATTGTTCTTACAAGTAAAATGGAAAGTATGATTGTTCTTCCAGCCCACCTTCCCTGCTGGAGATTCTTCGTTTTCCCTGTAATTCATTTGAATGAATATGTATATACTGCTTAGAACTAGTGTTAGAATCATAAAAATATTCCCTGTCATCATTACTGAATCATTTATACTGATTTGTATTTTCCCATTATTTGCATTGTTTTACCTAAGTCCCCAGCAAAGAACAGGTGGGAGATTTTACTTTAGAGGAGTTACTTAGAAATAACTCTCATTTTACTTCGCAGTGGTAGGAGTATCCTTGCAGGAAAGTGTGAGATTTCTATGCAATATAAGGCACACGCTTCACTTCGTAGTTTAGAAATAGTGAGGTGATGGAGGGGTTTTATTTGGAGTAGCTGTGGAAGTGATCGATGAAAAACAAGCATTTACCCGATGTGTTGTATTTGTAGATTGCATGTTGTCAAGTGTTTTTAGCTCCCTTTCAGAATGTCAGCAGAGGTTCTAGTCTTATTACCCATATATTACTTTAATAATTACATACAGACTTTTTTTTATGTATGTATGACCCTGGTCCTATTCCTCAATCTTTCAAAGCAAAACAGGAAGTCAGGATTAATTGTTCCCCCGTGTCACCTTGGAGGTCAAGGTACTGGAAAATCTTACATGAATGAGTATGTTTTACCGCTGACTAATTGCATGACTTTGGACAAATTACTCTCCCTCCACAGGCATCAGGTATTTTGTTTATTAAGAGATGTTTAGACAAGCCATCTCTAATTCTCTTTCAATTCAAACATGATTAGAGTTCTGAAATTTTTGTTCAGCATGTTGTCTTTTAATGTTGGGTCTTGCTTCCCTATTGAACTCTACATATTGTATTTTAATCCTAGACACCTACAGTATGTAAGTGGGATTTTTATGTCCTACTGATGTTTGTTTATTGTGATATATTTAGTGTGATGGTTAAAAAGCATGGCCTCACTGCTTCCTCGAGGACAGAGTGCTGACCATTGATTTTCCTCTGTGGTGATATGGGCTAACAGAGCCCCCTCAGTGGGTGCTCCTGGCACTGGAACACCTAGTGCTCATGCCCTGCTCACACCAGAACTCAGAAGTGCTAGCGGGCTGCTGTTGTGATGACCAGGGTTCATCTTAGCCCCATTGGAAGGTGTAATTGATAATGCTGAATGATCTTGGTTTTTGTTGATTTTCAGACAAGCCAGAATCTGGAAAACTTGATAAAGTTAAAAGTGGTCCTCAGAGCAAAAGTTGAGTGGTGCTGCTGCAGCTAGGTGAGGCTTTTCAGTGTACGCGGAAACACGAGGGTGTGCTTCTCGAGTGCTCGGGAAGACTCTGCTCACTTGCCACCTGGGAAATTGGGGCCCAGAGAAGTACTGTGCTTGGCCGAGGTGACGTGGTGGTTCATGGCAAAGCCAAAACCTTCACATTTTCCCAGGATGTTGGCTGTTCCCCAAACATTGGCTGTTATTACATAAGTCTTTTTATACCATTTGAGCAATTTTATTGAATTTAGCTACTGTTGGAACATCTAACATTCTTGATTTTAACATAATACTAATACTGCTAAAGTTTGCCCTAAAAGTAGAGAAAAATAGTCATAGGAAGAAAGCTAATAGCTAAAACTTGACTATGAGAAAAATCAGTAATACTCTTACTTGGATTGTTTTGTCTTTACTGTGAATGACTTGGTGTCCCTTCGGTGAGCTTGCGCTGGACGCTGAGACGGGGGCCACTGCGAGGTGAGAGGCAGGACTGGACAGGAAGGGCTCTCAGCTCTGAGGTTTCTAGTTGGAATCAATTCTCGGGTGTTTCTCTCTTTCCGTCCCTCCCTCCTGTCCCCTCCTCCCCCCTCGCCTTTTTTTTTTTTTTTTTATTTATTTCTTTCTACTTGCTCACTAAACACTGCCTTGGAAAATTTGCTTTGAATGGAGAGTACTCCTTGCAAAGTAGGTTTTCCTGAGTTATATTTTGTTCATTGACTTTTCTTGTTTGTCTTCAGTTACAGGTTTATGATAATGGATCGCTTTGGGAGTGACCTTCAGAAAATATATGAAGCAAATGCCAAAAGGTTTTCTCGGAAAACTGTCTTGCAGCTAAGCTTAAGAATTGTATGTGAGCTACATTCTTGTTTATAATCTGGTAAAGGCTGGAGCTCGGTCCTCTGCTGGTTGGTGTTGGGTATTGCATTGATTAATTCTCTATGGTGCTTTTATAGCTGGATATTCTGGAATATATTCATGAGCATGAGTATGTACATGGAGATATCAAGGCCTCGAATCTTCTTTTGAGCTGCAAGAATCCTGACCAGGTAGTTTGACAACATTAATTTCTGCTATTGAAACCCTGTTGTTTGAAAACAAATAAGGTTGCTTTGAACTTTTGAACCCATGCAGAAGTTTTACTTTTGGAAGTAAATATGGTAATAAAAATATTTCTTCTTGACACTTTTATCTAGTTAACATTCTACATTTTTCATGCGATTTGTTGGCACTTTATCAACTTGGCTATTTTGCCCTAAATAATATTCTGAAGTAGTACTTGTGATACAAAATGAATTTCAAATAGCTATTTGGGGGTGGAAGCTTAAAATTATATAGTGCACCAATGAATTATGTTTGCCTGTCTGCTTTGTCATTTTTTTTATTTCCTTTGTTCAAGAAATCCATCAAATGTAAGTGTTCTGTTACTTGGAAAATTTGGTCTTTAACATGTTGATTATTCAAATCAATTGGTTTACAGAAATATCTTAGCTGTCTAAATTTGTATACCCTTAGTGTTTGGAATTTAAATGTGCATTTTTTAAGTTTATTGCATTCTCATAATTTTTACTTTTTAGGGGAAGGAGGAAAGCTAGTGTTACTATCCCTTTACTTGGGTCAGTTTAGTTGGAGTAGACGTAGACAGTTTTCTGGTAGCTGCTTTCATGATTTTGGTAAGTAAGGGTTAGTTGGCGCTCAGTCCTGGGCCGCCATACTTAATACATCCTTTGTGTGTCCTCACCTTTTACTTGATCTCATAAGAGGAATGTTAAGCATTCGATGCTCTAGACCACATTCTTTTTCTCAAATCTGCCTTTAACTTCCTCTTAGTATCCTTTGTCTCTTCTTTTTTTTTATCATCTCCTATATTTGCTTCCTTTCCTCCATCTCTCTGTGGTGGCTGTACAGAGTCTGTATACACAGAGCAGAACAAAGTTGCTGTGTTAAAGCTTCTCTTGGGGAAATATTAAAGGCATTCACAGAATTTCCAGCCGTCTTGTTTGAGATGCTTTTAGGTCAAAAAAAGGCGTAGCTAAGACTCTGCATGATCAGGGTCTATTAATTGAAGCAGGCTGGATTTGTACAACATAATAAATGAAAGATGCAGCTTTACTTCACTTTGTGGTTGACCACGACTTGCTGCCTTTTGTTTATATGGAAATATTTTTGCAGCTCTGTTATCCTTCAGGCATCCGGGTGGCATTATTTTTCTATTATTATATGTTTGTGCTAGATCCAGCCCCATACTTGTATTTCCGTTTCCTCTTGTGACCAAATGCATACATTTGCGAGACAGATACCCAGAATTCAAAATGTAGTGTGTGGCTATATATATAATAGAAGAAAGCAAATTTGTTAAGCTTTGTTTGCTAACGCGACCCACATGTCCATGCCCACAAATATGTGTGTGTGATATTAAAATTTAGTTCTAATTAAGAAGACTTGACTTCAACATTTAAATACATGTGGATAAAAGCCTCATCAAAAAGTTCTTCAGGTCACTGTTATAATCTACAAACTCTTTTCATAAAGTGACTTGGAAGGTGCTTATTACAAGTAGAGCAGCATCGAGCCTCAGCCTGGTTGGCAGTCTTGTCACCCGTGGCGGCTGTGCGGCAGCAAGTACAGCAAGTGCCGGTGGTTTGTTTGGTGCTTGATTTTGTTTCAGACTTTGTGACAGAAAGCAGAAAGTCCTTGCTCAAGCTGAGGAACACGCTTAGTTACAAGTGTAATACATACTTGTCTAAAGAAGTACATAAAGTCAAGCGATTTATCTGCACTGTCGCGACAGGGTCTTTGAGCGTTTTTCTTTAAATAACTGTCTTTCACAGTTGAGTATCTGCTGTTGTTTGCATATTGGGTCTCACTTGTTAGGTTACTCAGGTGTGACCTTGTAGCAGAATCTACCCTCGAGTGACAATATTTTGTTTCTGGACACTGAGAACGGTCATGTGTAATCATTCTAGCTTTCTTTGTTTTGGTGCTTGGAAACTTATAGGTGTTCTTGGTAGATTATGGCCTTGCTTATCGGTACTGCCCAGAAGGAATTCACAAAGAATACAAAGAAGACCCTAAGAGGTGCCACGATGGCACTCTCGAGTTCACCAGCATCGACGCGCACAATGGCGTGGGTACGTCGGCCCCGCAACGAGATTCACGCCTCATGTCCCAGCCAGATACTTATCTCTGCGTGAGCAGATCAGAATTGAAGGGGCAAGGTGGGGTGAGGAAGACGGGGGAGGCTGTGAATTCCTGCCTCCCCCTTAAAGTGCTAGGATTTTAGGTGCTTCAGGCCACTGCAGGGAGGACTTCCTTTTGGTTTTATTTGGCTTACTTGAATGTTGGGGTTACCCCTCCACCAAGTCTGTAGATTTCTTATTCAGCAACTTTATAACAGGAAAACTTTTTTTGTCTGTTAAAAGTGAGCCAATTTCTTCATTGGTCATTTCTTTTTTCTGTGCCCAACACCGTGGAGGAGCCAAAATCCCTAATTCTCTGGTCTTTTAATAGCCTGTGGCCTTTTTAATACTTCAGGTTTTCCAAGGGCAGCATTAAATGTGCCACTGCTTTATAATTTATTTCCTAGACTAACAGCCTCTGTTTGAAACTCTAGACTAGTTTGCCAGTTTGGACTTTAAAGTAAATTTTAAGGAGGTAAATTATTTCTTTTTTCACTCTCCAGTGTTCAATATATTTTCATTCAGTGGAGTCACAGTTTTTATGATGAGAAACAGACTGTAAATGGGCTGTTTGCCCTTAAAGCTTTATATACACTTGAAGTTATATCTTAGAAATTATTTCTATACTTAACCTGCCTCTTTTGCATTCATAGCCCCTTCAAGACGTGGCGATTTGGAAATACTTGGTTACTGCATGATCCAGTGGCTTAGTGGCCATCTTCCTTGGGAGGATAATTTGAAAGATCCTAACTATGTTAGAGATTCCAAAATTAGGTAATGGAAAACTTGTAATAAATTATTTGGGGCAAAAATCATGATAAGGCAAGTGTGTTTCTGTCAGTCTCACAGGAACTACAGTACTGCGGTACTGCAGTAGAAGCAGGGCTAGGCGTGCTGAAGGGCAGCTGGCTGGGGCTCCGGCCCGCTGAGGTCGGCCTCGCACAGCGCTGCCTGCGGCCTGTTGTGAAATAGCAGCGACTTTCTGTGCAGTCAAGCTTCAAACAATGACTCATTCTTTAATTTTTAACAGATACAGAGAAAATATTGCGGGTTTGATGGACAAATGTTTTCCTGAGAAAAACAAGCCAGGTAGGAGAAGACTTTGCAAATGTTTACAGGGATTTTGTTGTGAGAAAAAAAAGTCTCCATGTCCATGGATCGCCCTTAATGTAAGAGCCTGGGTGTCATTAGTGCTGTTGCTGTGTTGGGGCCTGCTCGCACCAAAACACACTCCCCTTTCCAGAAGTGGACGCTGGAGCTTCAGTCCCCTGTTGGGCATGCGAGGCTTCAGGAACCAGGTCTCGACTTGTTTTCAATGGGGTTGTTCATTCACGTGCCAGGGACGAGGGGCAGGCCTGAGAGCAAAACAAATTAGATTCCTGTCTTCGTGAGACTGGGGCTGTCGTTAAGAGAGACAGTAAATGAATGACTGAATTTTACAGGGAATAGAATTAGAGGGTGGGGGGATGGGATCAGGAGTAAAGTGGGGGGATGACTGGAATTTTAAGGAGTAGGGCCAGGTGTGGCCTCATTGAGAAGGGGCCACTGAGCAGTTGTGGGTGGTTGCAGGGAGCGAGCTGTGGGAGGGCTGGGAAGAGCTTCCTAAGCAGAGGAGCCTTGGTGCCTACTGTACTGGAGAAATTCTCCCTTGTAGGCCACAGCGGGGCTTTGGCTGTGACTTGTAGCAAGTGTGTAAGGCTTGAAGTGGAAGAGTGATGTGAACTGTCCATCCAGAGGAGTCCTCTGCAGCTTCTGTTTTGAGGGTAGACCGCCGTGGAGCGAGATGGGGCATCAGCAGGAGTAGGGTATAGTTGGGGTCACTGTGGTAATCCAAGTGGGAGATGGGAGTGGAGAAGAGATTTGGGATTTATTTGCAGTTCTTTTCAAGTCTTTGTGCATTTGTCTCCCTTTTGGAGAGGTCTCCTCTTGCCTTATTCTGCTTAAAATTGTAATCTCCCAACCACGTCAAGAAATACAATGTTACAGACTTAATAGAATCCCCTCCTTGTGTCTCCTAACAGTCAGGAGCCTCTCCCTCTGGACTAACACATCTCCAGCCTAACTTCCAATATCAGAGATTTGGTTTTGAAATGTAGAGAAATGCAATCATAAACAAGACATAAAATCCCTGCCCTCATGAAATTGACCTTCTAGTTCTGTCGGGCCTTTTTCTTTTATTTGGTTTTGTAGTTATAAAGTTTATTCCCATAATTGCAGGGTTTTTTTTTTTGTTGTTGTTGATTTTTTCTTTAAAGATTTATTTTATTTATACAAGAACCGGGGTATAGGCCAGAGGTATGGGGGGGTGAGAGGATCCACCAGAGACAGAGTGGGGAACAGAACAGGCAGACTGACTGAAATACACTGCTGGCGGCGAGACAGCGGGCGAGACAGGGGAGGTCTGCTTGCCATGTGGGTTGCTCTGAGGCCAGCGGGGATCGAACCAGCACTGTAGAGGCTGCGGACAACCTCATAGCTCAACCGCCTGCGCCATGAGGGAGGTCCTGTTGTTGATTTTTAAATTTTATTGAGGAATAATTGATAAATATGGTTCTATGATTTGACCCATATGTGTCGGGTGATTACCAAGATCAAGATAATGAACACACTTCTCACCTCGTGTGTTTAACAGTTACTTCTGTGGTGAGAAACTGGCTGTGGTCTTGTCAGCCAGCCACCGTGCTGGACAGTAGCTCCTCAGACAACCACTGCTGCACGCTTATTCATCTCATTTGTTCGTTTCCCTTTCTGCTTGGGGTTCCAGTGCATTTGTGTACTGTCTCGATCTGTTCTGTTGAGTTGTTTCCACTTTTTGGCAGTTACAACGTGTCAGTCACACACAGAGGTGCACAGTTACCTGCAGCTGATTGTTCTTTGCTTACATGGGGAGGAGTCTGCTTTCTTCCCTACCCCCGTGTTTCCATCCAGTTGACCCAACGTCCCTGCTTGAAAAGACCTTTCTCTCCATGTGATGTCACTTCTTGTAAATCAAGTGTGGATCTGTTTCTGGACTCACCACTCTGTCCTTTTTTTTTTTTTTTTTTTTTGGGCCACACTGTCTTCATTCCTGGGTCTTGATCTTAAGTCTCATTGGCTGCTGTTCTGGTATTCTGGCACTGCTGTTCTCCAAACTTGACCGTGCCATTTGCTCTTCCAGGCTCTCATGTCTGTGCAGCCTCAGAATCACCTTGCCAGTTCCCCAAGCATCCTGTCCCTCCTTGGCTTGCTGGAGCGGGAGTGGGTTGCACTCACTGCAGACTCATGGGGGAGCTTTGTCTTGTCATGTTTATGCTGTTGTCTTCCAGTCTGCTAAGGTGCTGTCTTTAATTTCCCTCAACTGTATTTTATAGTTTTCTCTGCAAAAAAAAAAAAATCTTGCCCATCTTTAATTTTTTGTGCTGTTCTGGTGTTTTTATAAATGATATTTTAAAAATTTTATTTTGCAACCTTATTTCAACATATAGAAACAGATTTTTATGTATTTTCTGGTATTCTGTGACCCTGTTAAATTTACCTACTAGTTCCAGTAGGTTTTGTTTTTTTTTTTAAATAGATTCCGTGGGGCCTTCTACTTAACTCTCTTGTTGGTGAATGAACTGTTTTTTGGTTTCATTCCGTTCTGTTTTTTTGTCTTGCCTAATTTGCTAGCTAAAAGCATACCTGGCTGTTACACTGAAGAGAAGTGGAGAAAGTGGACATCCTTGCCATTTTCCTCTATCAGAGGAAAGCTTTCAGCGTTTGCCACGCGTGGTGATGTTTACTTTAGGTCTCTACTTAATAAATCTTTGAATGAATGAGTGAGATGGGTGAGGGGGGATGAGAGAGAGAGAGAGAGAGAGAGAGAGAGAGAGAGAGAGAGTGTGTGTGTGTGTGTGTGTGTGTGTGCGCGCGCGCGCACACAGCACTGAGATGTCTGACTTACTGGATGTGGGAAGATCCCGGCTTGTGGAGTAGCTGGGACAGGGGAACTGCAGGGGGTGCAGGAGTTTGAATTAGGATTTGAGATGACAGTTGCACACCCAGGGGCCAGTGTGAGGCAAGTCTGGAAGTCGGGAGGCCAGGTTAGAGGCAGGTGTGCGCGTCACTCATCTCCGAGGGCCTTTCAGTGTTGAGAAGTGTCTCTCTCGACTAATAAGATTTCATTCATGGGTGTGGTTTAGCCTCAGTGTGACAGTCTTTCAGAAACCCCTTTTTTCTCTTTTATGGGAAAACGAGTCCTGGGCTTTTTTCTCCTTCCACCTATTTTTAGTATGTTTTATTTCTCATTCACACAAAAAAATGCAGTTGTCTTCTGAAGACCTAATAGCTTTCATGGCAAGAAAAATATTGCTATTATATTAATTGTATATTTAGGACATTTTGTTTCATAATCTTTATTCTAGGTCCTTTCATTTTTTAATAGCTTTTTACAAATTATAGCATTTATTTCTGTATGTATTTAAAATATGTCTTCTTACAGTTTCAGAAATTTTTTTACTTTGTATCTCAAAATAAATTTTTTATTTCACTTCTCTGACAGTTCCTGAGTTTAGAAGTACTTTCTATTGAGGAAGTATGGGATAGAAAAAATTTGTTTGTATTCTAATTTGACTATAATCATGAATTCTTTTATTAGATGTAAGAGGTAAATGTATTCATACTAAAAAAATTGCACAAAAATTGTTACTCTTTTAGGTGAAATTGCTAAATATCTGGAAACAGTGAAGTTACTGGACTATGCTGAAAAACCTCTTTATCAGAATTTACGAGACATTCTTCTGCAAGGACTGAAAGCCATCGGAAGTAAGGATGACGGCAAACTGGACCTCAGCGTTGTGGAGAATGGAGGCTTGAAAGCAAGACCAATAACAAAGGTGAATTTCATTATTGAGATACATTTTGGGTTTCCTATGATTATAATTGCAACAAATACTAATTTTAGGAAATTAAATCAGTAACTCAGTAAAGAAAATAATAACTGATTGTCAATTAAATATTTATCATGTTATATAAAGGCAGAACTCTTTATTACACAGAAAAATGTATAGAGGAGTGTAGGAAGAATGAATATTTGCATTCTTGTGTCTGGCTGTTACTCCCTGGCGGGGGTGTTGATGAGGTAGGCAGGCCACAGTCTGTGTGTTGTCTTTTCTTCCACATCACCCCCAAGGGGTTCCCTGTTTGTGTGGCCAAAACTAGTATATAGGAAGCTACTGTTTAGTCACCATTGAGAACTCCCGTTTTATTTATTTATTTTATACAAGAACTGGGGTATAGGCCAGAGGCACGGGAGAATGAGAGGATTCACTAGAGACAGAGTGGGGGAACAGAACAGGCAGACTGACTGAAATACACTGCTGAGGGGAGCAGTGGCGAGACAGGAGAGGTCTGCCACGCCATGTGGGTATCTCCCTGGCCTGCCGGGAATCGAACCCGTGCTGCAGAGGCTGCGGACAGCTTCACGGCGCTGCGCTCAACCTGCTGCGCCACCGGGGAGGCCCTATTATTGATTATTTTTGATAATCAAATTGCTGATTATTGATTTTCTTTATGCTATGAAGTTATTTAATGACGTGTACTAGATGGAAAAGGAAAACTACTTTTAGAAGAATTTTTTTTATATTATTGATCTCTTTTACTGTTGTTCACTGTAAATTCTAGTAGATTCCTTTGAAACCTCATATTTCAAACTTTGAGAAAGGGTCAAAAACAAAATTTCTCACTTTAAAATAAGAAGAACAGCAAGAGAGTTTTGCGGTTCTTTTTAACTGACAGGAAATAGGCATTTTGAAATTGGACCAGGAATTGACTTTTTTTGACAATCGTAGGTCTTTGTAATTTCACTACAGAAACTGAAATTATGCACGTGATCTATATATGCACTTTCTCTTACATGTTTTGTCTTAATTGCATCTCCTCCATTTTTGTGGTCCCAAGTGTGCTGACGGCCACGTCCAGCTTGGAAATGAAGAGGGTACAGTGGGAGCCTGAGTGGAATTTTCCAGAAAGGTGGAAAACCTAGAGTGGCGCGTGTATGCTGCGTGTTCATTTTTATAGTTGGCTTTTGTAGTTTTTCCCTAAAACTTTGCTGACTTGAGAAGTGAAGCCTCTGCTGCTCTTGCTTCCTCTGCGGGTCAGGTGGCTGTGGCTGGAGTTGTTGCTGGAGAAAGCGTGTTTTCTGCCGGTCGGCTCACTTTACAGCTGAGCGGGCCGGCCTCTGCGGCCCTGTCACTCTCTTTTGTCCTTGGTGGGAAGTTTCCAGTTGGATCATCCCTACACGTGTAAACCTTCATTTAGAGAGAAAAAATAAATACCAGGTGAAACTATTTGGAGATTTTCTTCATTGGTTCACTGCTCTCTCCCCCTGTCACTCACACAGGCTGTTCTTCGTATGGAAAAGACAGTAGTGAAAGGGAAGGTCAGGGTCATGGAGCTCCATGGTAGCAATAGAACTGTGGAGGTATCATCCTCTTGTTGGCCGCTTGTCTTTTTGTGTGTAAAGTGAAAGAATTGGATTAGCTGGGAGTTTTTAAGCTTTTCTTTGTTTTAAGCCCCGGAACATTTTCTTCAAATAAATTGTAAATGCCTGAATCTAAAACAGGTAAGGGCAGAGTTCCATTGGCTGAAAAGTTGGGAACTCCCAATAAGCAAAAACTATATATTTTGAGAAGTTACTAGTCTTTCCCCCACCTACGATTACCCCCTTTTTAGCAGGGATATATAATTGAGGTACATATCTTGCTTTTATTCCCAGGAACCTGATGCTTAGCCATAGAAACTATATCAGTCCTTAATTAGCATATTGCTTCCTCTTTTCCTTTGTCATACTTTTTAAAAACTTTTTAAAATAGTATATGCTCTTCATGTTTATCAGGCTCAGATCTCTTTTTGGAATCAATTCAATATAAATTTCTCTTTACATTCCTGAGACATAGCCATTACGGTAAAACCTATATGAATTGATGAACAATGGAATGAAACACGTTTTTCATCCATTTTTTTTTTAATAGCCATGCTCAATTATGGTATAGTGTACTTGGAAGCCAGAGTGAAATATGAATTTACCCACTTGGAAATGTCTTCAGCCTTTGTAGCCTCATCGTTTTATTTCAGGCACATAATTTTGGAATGACAAGAAGCTGAAAAAGAAAGAGACTAAACATTAACGTGTCCTTATAAAGTACATAGCCAAAGATTTTCTTTGTTGATTTGAACTGAACGCTTCCATTAGAATCTGGCTGCATAGCCCAACAGTTATTGGATTCAGGGTCTACTCTTAAATTAGTATCCAGCAATTATGTTTAAGGTCTAATTTATGTACCTGGTCTAGGCTAGCTCTCTGGGGCTACAAAGATCAATACCATGTAGTTCCATCCTTAAAGAATTCCACCCTGTCCCATCTAGGTTAGAACAGCTTAATTTACTGGAAAGAACTCAGCAAGGTAAAAGGACATTAATACCTCCATTAGCTATTTTCTTGTAGGGTTTTGCTCAAACCAACAAAAGGGACTGTTTATTAGATTCTCTTGGGGCCCATCCTTGGATACTCGTTGTGTAGGCTTAGGATGTGACCCGGAGCTTTGTGTTTCAGTCTTCACTTCTAGACAGCATGTATATCCCCCTGTGAATGGTGTGTACATACCCTTCTCTCCACCTCCATTTTTTTAAAGTTAATACTAGTTAGTTGGTATTTCTGGAATTTTTTTGAAAAATCATTAACCATTGTTAGATAAATCCCTGCTGGCACTCAGTCAGGAACAAGGTTCAGAGGGCTGAATGAGAGCAAGGGCTTTCCAGGGCAAGGCGGCGGCCTGCATCAGCTCTGTGGGTGGCTTCCTGTCCCTGAGGTGACTGAGCCTCACTCGGAACACAGTTTATACCATGTAGCCCATGCACCCTCTAAATTTGGTGAAAATCGATCGAGCCATTTTATCATGGTAGAGTAGTAGTAGAGAGTATTTTCATTATATAGTATATGCTGTTGAAGTCAATACATTTTCTGTTTTCTAACTGTAGGTTGGCCTTAGTTGTGCAGTAAGCGGATTCAGTGGTTACAAGGTTCTTTACCATGGGTGCCTCCTTGTTGAGCTCTTTATTTTGAATCTTGTCTCATATTGCTGGATTTTGTGGAGTGGCCTTTCCTCCCTAAATTTTTAAGTGAGATTTTGATATATGTACAGAAAGGAGCAACAGTAAATGTGGAATTGAGGTTTACGCAGTGAACATATGCACTTAATTTATCTAGACCAACATGTGGAGAGCATCCTAGAAATCTCTCTTATGCCCTCCCCTCGGTCATTATGTCCTCGTTAAGAGTAATTGGTATTTTGAGTTCCAACACCATAGTTTTCCATTAAAAAAATGAATAGTAGTAGCACCAAACAATAAGTATTCGTCTGTGTCGGTGTTTCATTTGTGTGTCTGAATTTCTACATGGTTGTGTGTGGCAGGGGCTTTTTGTTTTTCATCGCTGCATAGTACTCCATTGTGTAACCACATCATCATCATTTGTGCTTTCTCCTATTGATGAGTGTTTGAACTGTTTGAACTGTTTCCAGTTCTTGATGACTGCAGTAATATTATTTAACAACATTATTTTAATGCCTTTGAGGAAACATTTCTTATGGAATGGGTAATGCATAGTAGAATTATTGGGACACAGGGATCATGTTGTTCAGTTTTAGTGGATTCTACCAAGTAGTTTTACAGAACAGCTACCTCAGGTCACAGTACCATCAACTTACAGTTTCTCACTGACACTAGCTCTCACATTATATTTAATTTGACCTATTTTGGAGGATGCGTACTGGTACTTTATGATTTTAAGTACCTTTCATATGCCCATCAGTCTTGATTATGTTTGTGAGGTGCATTTCAAGTCTTTGTTCATTAAAAAAAAATAGTGTTGCCTATTTTCTTTAAGTTTGCCAGAGTCCATCCATTACCTTGTATATATGCATTATATGTACTGCACGTCAACAGTTCTTATAAACCTTCCAGCCAGTAGATCACCTTTTCACTTTCTTAATTTGGTATGTTTTGATGAACAGAAGTTCTTCATTTAAATATTCTTCATTCAGTCCTTTTATTAGTGGTTAGTGCTTTTTGTATTCTAGTTTCAGAAAGTTGTCTACATCAAGGTCACAGAGATAGTTCTGTTAAGTCTACAGTATATAATAGAAACTGACTTGAGTGTGGTGTGAGTCAGTCTTTGGATGTCTAGTGGATCTGAATAGGTTTCTTGAAAAGACTGTACTGTCTACAGAGCATGAATCGTCTCTCAGAAAGCCACATGGGGTTCGGTGTGTTCTGGTGGCTCTGTTCTGCGCGATGGGGCTGCTCACCATTCTGTGCCAGTGCCGCAGAGGTGGAACTACTGACCTCATGATGATGTCTGCATGCAGGTCCCTCGACTTTGTTCTTCACGATTGTCCTTGATGTTCTGGGGCCTTTGACTTTACATATACCTTTTATTTTATTTTTTTAAGATTTATTTATTTATGCATATAAGAACTGGGGTATAGGCCAGGCGGGTGAGAGCATTCACTGTAGACAGAGTGGGGAGCAGAACAGGAAGATTGACTGAAATACACTGCTGAGGGGAGCAGTGGGCGAGTCAGAAGAGGTCTGCTGTGCCTATACCTTTTAGAATCAACTTAATAATTTGCACAAAAATAGTTTTGGAATTTTGATTGAGATTGCATTGACTTCCCATCACTTGTGGAAAAACTGTTACCTTTACAAGATTCATTTCTGACCCATGAATGTGGCATTCCCATATCATGTTAGGTGTTCTTTAGTCCGTCTTAGTCATGTTCGTAGTCGTCTCTCTCTGTGTAGAGACTAAACACATCTTCTGACTGCATATAAATCC